ATTTTTGTCCAATTCTTACCATCTCATTTCATTTCTTACTGAGAAAAGACCATCCAAAATGAAGCGCCTCAAATTCTATATCTAGAAATTCCTCTTCATATTCATCTACTCTCTGCCTTTATGAGAGCCTGTGATAAAAAATATTGAATCCTTGAAATCAATGGTTAGTATTTCAGCCAGTTGTGGCTTATCCTTGCACATCCCAACTCTTCCACTTACTAGCTGTGAGACCTTGGGCAAGTTACTTAACTTCATTGTACCGCAGATTCCCCAGTTATAAAGTGGTGATAATAATAGTTCTTACCTCATAGGATTGCTGAGAGTTTTAAATAAAATAATTCACAAATGCATGTAAAGCACTTAGATCAGTGCCAGGGCCATCAGTGAGCTTTCTTCATGGGCCCTGGAATCAAGAGCCCAAGAGAGGCCCTCCATACTGTTCATTCTCCTCTAGAGCAGGCACTGCCCTGGCACACAAATGGCACATACCTATTTCTAGCAGTTGATAATCCTTTTAGTCTCTTGCCATTCATATGATGAAAGCTCAACAGAGATGCATTTCTGGAACATCTCTGGGTCTAGGCAATTTTTCCACTAAATATCACAGCCTCTTGCAAGCATTCAGTATACTTTCTGCAAGAGCTACTAAATGCATTTTAATCTTGGCTCTCTTACTAGCCATATGACTGTGAGCAAATTACAGAACCTCTGTTAGCCTCAGTTCCGTCATCTGTTTAATGAGAATAAATATAATAGTAACTATATTATAAAGTTGTTGTGAAGATTGGGATCATCCACATAAAATATTGACCATAATGTCTAACATATGCATTCAACATATAAACGCAGAGTACCGAAGTGGTTGGTAAGGAATAGAATTAGTCAGAACCAAACTGTGGAAGATATTCTTCCCATCTGTAACTATCCCCAAAGCCCTTCAAACTAACCTATATGCCCTGTGAATCTGTAGCTGAAAAGAAGCTGAATGAGATCACCTTTGAATACCCACAATGCTGCCTTGGGCATAAGAGGTTTGCTTGCGGACAAAAAAAAAAAAAGTGGAGAAAGAAAGAATTTACTTGATACCTAAAAAAAACCAGGGCACACATACCACTAAGCCTAATCATGCCACCACTAAGCGAAATTGTCCAGAAGGACACGATCCCTTCTGATATTTTTTTTTTCTCTAAACTGGATATGATTTGGGTAAAGCAGCATGGATAGTAATATGATAACCTTAGCACTTGCTGGCTCTAAGGAAAGAATAATCTTTCTTCAAATGTGACCTCTATTTTAATGTGTTTAAAGTGGGAGAGTGGAAGAGTGGATCCCAGATCCTGGATCCTGATCCTGCACTCAGACTAGGAAAAATGTAGTTCCAACTGGGCTCTCCCAGCCATGAGTTTTCTGAGTTTTTTAAATTAAGGCTGATGTGTGAGTGGAAGTTAAGAATGTAGAAGTTTGAGTGGATGTATTTTTTTCTTTTGATGGTGCTTGCCTAAATCAGATTGAAAATAGCAAAGGAAGGAGATACGGAAAAGATTAAAAGAGAAATTTTGCTAATGTGATTTTCCAGCATTGTAGTCTCTAGTCTCTTCAGAGCAAAGTTTAACTAGCTGATTCTATAAGCATAGATTCATGAGAAAGGATCCTGCTAAGGACCACCAGGCTTTTTATTCTTTAATTTTTTTTTCTCCCATCTCTTCTTCTATATTCTGTATCTAACAGCATGCTGTATCCAGCAGGCCAAAACCTGGGTTATGACCAAAGGCAATTTTTAGCCACTTCATTTCCCAGTGTACCCATAATCCATGAGTATCATCTCCTCTTCTCATTTCCTATTCAAGCCTATCCCTATATTTTCATGTGGAATCACTGATCTTTTTTCAGATGAAGAAACTGAAGAGGAGGAACAGAGATGCTCAGTGATGAGCCCAAGGTTACGCAGCTAATTGATAACTGAGCTGAGGTTGTAATGCAGGTTTTCCAACTTTTGGCAGTTCTCTAAGATGTCTTCCCAGCATAATCCTTATTCTCTTAGCTTTCACTGCTGCACAATGACATATATAAAAATGACAACACTGTCAGTTTTAAATAGATGGCAGAGAGGAAGAATAAATCCACAGCAAGTTAATTAGAAATACAGTAAAACATGAGTTTCAGGGGCCACAATTAATCGTATCTTCCATTTAGTGCTTCCATTGTTAACCTGTCATAATTTACCACCCTCTGATCTATAGTCAAAAATGAGCAAAACAAAGTCTTGAAGTCCTCTTATAGATCACAGACCGTTTGAGCTGGATCAAATCATTTTAATCTAATTACTTCATTTTGTGGATGAGGAAAATAAGAATAAGAAAGGAGAAGAGATTTGCCAAAGGTGATGCAGCTCACTAGTAGCAGAAGTAAGTTGAGAATCTAGACTAACAGATTCTCAGAGTGGGGTCTTTTCCACCATGTTTTGCAGCCTTATCAGCAGAAAACTGTACTAAAGTAACACCACAGGTTTATTACTTTACTACCTTCTGTTATCTCTTTTTCTCTAATTGTCTAATAAAAGAATTGTCTAATTCTCTTATTCTCTAGTAAGTCATATTACCCCTACCTGATTTTTTAAATGTGGAAAACGTTTTTATGATTATAGAAGTTAAAATGTAAAATTAATTTCTGCTAATTGTCAACAAACAAAAAACTTCAAAAATATAGAGAAGGAAAATTACCCAGGTAAATTTCAAATCACCCAAAATTAAGTTTTAACATGTGTTCAGATTTGTATCCTGCCTTTTTACTTTATATTATATTGGAAGCATTTGTCCAGACTCTTTGAGTGTTCTTTAAAATTTTGATTTTTAATATTTGTATTATTGTATCATAGTTATTTTATGACACATATGTACATACAAAACCATTACCCTACGTACATATATTTATATATCTTATATATATACATGTAAGTCCTATTATATATGTAAGCCCATATATATACACACACACACACACACACACACACACACAACCATTATACAACTTTATGCATTGAGGTGGATTCTCAATTCACTAAGGCTTACAATTATACCTCAACTTCCTCTAATACCTACATTCTATCACAGATCTGAACACACAGTAAATATGTAATAAATATTTGCTGACTTTTAGCGTTCTGGTCTTTTTTGGGATGATCATTATTCCTCCACCGGGTAGAGCAACCAAAGTGAGAACTTGACTTTCCATCCTCTTAACTCAACAGGCAGTATAGCAATGGTGGTTATGATCAGAAGCCAGACTTTCTGAGTTCAAATCCTGGATCTATCTCTTTCTCGTTGTAGAGCCTTGGGTGAGGAGCTCAATCCCTCTAAACCTCAGTTTTTCTTTCTGACAAATGGAGGAAATGTTAGTATCCACTGTAGTAAAAATTAAAAAATAAAATATGTGGAAAGTGAACACTCAACAAATAGTAGTTGCCATTATGTTACATTTGCCAAAGGGGAATAAAGCACCAAATTTGGAGTCAAAAAACTTGAGTTCTTGTTCCATCTCTGCTATTATCTAGCCCTATGGCCTTGCATGAGTTATTTTAGTAGTCCGTGTCTCAGTTTCTTCATCTACAAAATGGAGATAGCAATTATTGAGCTGTATAGCTTATAGGGATGTTATGAAGATCAAATGAGAGAATAAATGTGAAAGCCCTTTGAAAACTATGAAGTAAAGTATAATTGTTAAGTATATAAAGGTAGATGTAACATGATTGTTGTATGGTAGGACTGGAGATGCAGAGGGTGCCGGAGACTAGGCTGAATACAGTGAGCCTGGGAAGATAATTTTAAAATAAAATTCTTTGTATTGGAAATATAGACTGTTACAGACAGAAGGGACCTTAGCGATCATCTAGTCCGTCATCTTAATGTTATATTTAAGAAAAAAGATTCAAAAAGGAGAGAGCTCAAAGTCACAAAGCCAGTCCAGAAATGAAACTAGAATTCATGTCTCTTGATTTCCCAAACACATTCCTAAAGCAATCACTGCAGATCCTTATTTGTTGACCTTCATCAAAAAAAAAAAAAAAAAAGTAGTAACAAAAAAAAAAAAAAAATACAGTTGTGGCATCTATGTTGGTAGTAACTGATTATTTGGGGTTTTATCACAAGGATAAGCCACATGTAGCATAGCTTTGTTATATTTTTACCAACTTCATTCCAGGTGAGGGAAAGTAAAGGTGCAGGAAGGTGATCGGTAGGGGGAGGATTCAGTCAGGGCAAATGACCTCAGACTTGGCCAGATTCCCAAGAGATTGCTGTCATCCCCAGCAATGACCACTGCAGCACATGGTCTTTCTTTGATTATTAATATCTATCTTTGCAGTCAGTCCTCAGTTATGTGTTTTTGGAAAACTTGGTATAGTAGATGAAATTATCAGTTGCTTAAAAATACAATTGCCAATTGTTTGATTCAAGTAAATTGATTACAGTCAGAGGACTATTCATATTTTATGCTGGCATGCATACAGCCCACGTCAGGCAAGGGCTGCATCACCGATGGCAGCTCAGATATCACTGCATTCCCTGAATTATATCCCGTCAGGTACTCAGTAAATATACGTGTAGGATACTTTCATCTTTACATTTTTTTAGCTGAGATGAGAGCACATAAACATTTCTATCTGACAACCTTTTCAACTTCAACAGCACAGAAGGTTATTTTTAAAAGAAACAAGAAAAGAGTTTTTCAATAGCAAGCTCCAAAGGTGACTAAAAATGCCATCCAACAAGGCAGACCATTAAGAAATGTAGTGTGAAATGTGTTAATACAATAAACTCAAATGTGGTCTCACTAGTCTTAGCTCCCCAGAATTTTGGCTGCCTTCCCCAGCTGCCACTGTGGCCTGGACAGTGTACATCAAGATTCACCCTCTTCCCTCAATCTTGAAGTGCCCCCTTTCCGCCTTTCAGCTGAAGGAGACCTATGGCCAGAAGCAGCTTGCCCTCACCTTGTCATCCCCACAGCTCCTACTGAAAGGGACTATCTGCCTTGGCCAGGAAGCATCAGGGAAAACAATTGGACAGCTCTGCCACACTGCAAAGATCATGGGCTGCTGCACCTAAAATGTTCACCAGGAGGGGCCCGCCAAAATTGGGCCTCTTGTGTCTGCAGTAAGTGCCCATAGTTTGAAATCAGCAAAGTGGAAGGAAAGGGGAAAGAATCTTGTTCACCAAGTCCTGTTATGCCACAAAAAAGATCTCCCCACTCTGGAAGCTTGAAAGGAACAAATTCCGGGCAAGTCAAAGTCAAGCCTACTTTACACAGTGGGAAGTAAACATATGGAATCCCCTAGCCCAGAGTTGGTGCCAGCTGAAAATATAAATACTGTCAGATAAGGTTCAATACATGTATGACTGTTAAGGCAATGATAGGTTATTAAAGGAAAAGAGGCTGTTTGGGGACATGTTAAATCTCTGAGCTCAAAATTAGTGAGGACAAGCAGATCCTCTGACAGCCTCAGTGAATGAGTCCTGAAGATATACATGATCTCAGAACTGTGACTGTGTTCTCCAATTAAGCTAGGAAAAAATAAAGATGTGGTATTTAGGGCTTCTTGGCTCAAACTGAGATGCTAAAATCTCTGGTTTGCTCAGAGTTAAATTCTTCAATACATATAAGGGAAGTAATGCGTTATGGGAAAAAAAAAAAAACAACCCTAGATTCCTCCCTTTGCCCTGCTGCTACTAACTAGCTAGGAGACTGTCCCTTATTTAGGCCTCACCTTTTCCCATTTGTAAAATAAGGGAATTAGATTAGGTGACTTCCAAGGTCCTTTCTAGCTTCAACTACGTTTAATTCAAATGATATTATGGGGTTCCCTTGAAGGGTTTGGAGCAGGGGAGATCCTGCATCTTTCCTTGCCCTCCCTTGCTCAGGAACTCAGAGTCTTCAAGATGTTTGAAAGATGCCCCTGATTCTACCAAGATGTTTCCTTCAAGTCTGGCCTCCACAGCAGACGTCCATGCTCTGAAATTTATATCTCATGGCCTATTCCCTGACTCCTCAAGCTCCCAATTGCCTTGTAAAGAGGTAGAACTGGTTAGATACAGGGGTTTGTTTTGTTCAGTGTGGTAGCAAGGTTGGAGAAAGTTTGGGCTCCAATATTAGAGGCAGCATTGTATGGGCTTTAAAGCTAGAGCTAGCCCGGGTTAGAATTCTGGTTCTGCCACTTCTGTGCTCATCTATAGAACTTGTCTCATCTATAGAATTACAGTGACAATACTGTCTTCCCTCTAGGGCGATTGTCAGGATTAAATGACAGAATTCGTATCAAATCCTCAGCATAATGCCTGTCATAAAGTAAATGCTGCCATCTTTTTCTGTTCTCCACTAAATAGATGTTGAGTTAAAAATTAAAACCAATAAATCAATAAATATTGAGCTAATAATCAAGGCTCAACTTTTAAGTTGTGGCGAATTATTTGGAGTCTCAGGGCCCCCATGTTTTGATAGCTATAATGGCATATTTACAGTTTATCAGGGGCATTCTGGAAACTGCACAAGCCAATGAGAGAACTATTTCTGGTGGATAGCATTTAATTTTGCAATAACCCTGCAAATCACACTACTTAGACGAGTGCTACTTTGACCATCTCATGGAACCAGTGCAGCCTGTGGGGATCCTGCAGGGAGGCTGACAGAAAGGGAAGTTCCAAAAGGTGACCCCTTGATGTGGCTCATCCATTCATAGTGCTGAGCAATATTTTACCTTTCCTGTTCAAAGTGTTATAGGTGAACTGTAAGATGAGAATAAGATCACAAGTCAGCACTACCTCCTCCCTTCTTGAGTTCTCAACTGACTAAGCATCATGGAGAGAGAACAAAGAAAGAAGTTCAGCCTGGGTGTGTGAAGCTGTAAAGTTGCAGGTTGAGGCCAAACCTATTTTAGAGACAAAAGGAACTGTCCTCTGAAGATAAAATAAAAAGATGAAGCTGAGATGGGACAGGATCAAAGTTGACTAAATATCAAGAGAGGTTAATAAAGGAACATTAATTTATTCCTCAAATCCTATGTTCAGTTGTGTGGGTGTATGTTTCTTAACGCACTACCAGTTGATTATTATTATGAATGTCAACTTTGACCTGGAAATCCCATAGCTCATCTTACACAGGTTGCCTAAAGATAATTTCTCTTCTTAGGCTTTTCTGAGTAAGAAGCCCTCAACCTTTGGTGGAAAGACCTCAGTAATTAATTGGAAACATGTATGAACATAAATATGGCTTAAGAGTTTAGTGGATCAGGTAAGGAAGTCAAGAGATGGAGATGATCCCTAAAGGTGTGTACCAGGTCCAGTGTGAGGGAGGGTGAGAGAGATGGTGACTTGCAGTGATTGGTGGCAGTTTACTGGGAGCATCCGGTAGAAAATCTAATACATAATAAGGTAGGTCAGGCTGATAGTATTACTATGCCCATTTTACAGTTTAAAGAAACAGGCTCAAAGGAGTTAAAGTGTTTTTCCCAGTAAGTGGCTGGGGTGAGACTCAAACCTTAGTCTAATCTTGTGCTCCTTCCATGCAACATGCTGTCTCCACTTAACTAGCATTATAATGGAATGAGTTGTTCTAAGCTAATTTTCCAGATATTTGAAGCACACATCTTTCAGCAGTACAAGTGCTATTTTTATTTTAACCATTTTTGAAGAAAAAACTTTCTACAATGCATCAAACACCTCCACACCTTATTATGCAGAAGATACCGATTACTGTGCTTTTAATTTTCTGTCTATTTCCATAGCCTTCTATCTCTTTTCCCACTGTAGCTGACAATGTTCAGTACTTCCTAGGCTACTGAAGATAGATAGCATATTAGAAATGAAGCACTCCTAAAAGCAGATATACTAAAATGTGACAGCCGACAATAAGGGAATACCATGCAGAATCACCAACTATAAAAGCACAACAGTCTGGGATTAATTCAGGTAGGGGCAAATAGACCCAAGAGGCCAAGTAACCTCATGGACAACAAACTCGGTACCGGAGCTGGAGTTGCCAGTAAAGACCCTGAATCATCCATAGAAAATTGAATTCTGTTCATTCTACTACACTGGTATACTGTGGGGAAGGGGTCATATATGAGGTCCATCCCAGCTGGGAGGAGTATTTTTCCACTGATATTTAGAAATGCCTGTGCATATGATAATTAAAAAGCAAGTAGACAGTTTATTACTGTCTTTTAAATTCTCTACACACTACCCTTTTACTGTTTGCACCCCAGACAGACCACTCCTACTGCTCCTGCGTTGGTATACCAGTGTTTTACTGTGTTTAAAAGGATGGTAGTGGGGGAGGGATTCCACTTTAGAAAGATTTCTATCTCAAATGGCTCAAGAGTTAGTATGTCTAAAGGGGTAAATGTTTACTGATCTGGAAAACATAACTCATGTAAGAAGCGTGGCAAATTGTTGTGTGTTTAGCCTGTCACTTCTCTTTCCTTGTTCCACCTGTAATTTCAAAGGAAAAAAAATAACGCTACAAGCAAATCCTTCATAGAATGCCATCCTATTGGCCTGCTGCAAGTACTTGGATCTTTTCAAATTCCAATCAGAATGGGCTGTGCTTTGCCTTCTCCATCTCTGTCTCCTCTGACCCGGCAAAGTTTCCCATCTTTTATCCTGTCACTTAGCTAATGGTGTGTGTCCCTCTTGCATATATTCCATAGTCACCGGCTTCTTTTGCTAGTAGAGTCGTCAGCGAGATGCTCGGCAGATGGCTCACTGGCTGCCGTTCTTGTCCCCTCACTGCAGCAATCTGTTGTTCTAAATCAAAATGTTAATGAAAAATAAAAGAACGCAGTGCCAATGTCTGTCTGATTTAAATTAATACAGAGTCATACCTTTGGAGGCAGGTTTTACTGGCACGAGGTTCTCCATACAGGCTACCCATATTGTGTGTGGCTTTTTTTTCCCTCTCTAATTAAAATTAAGCACTTTCATTTATCTGAGTCTCTGTTGGTACCCACAACCTGTTCTTTTTAATAATAGCAAAGGCCTAACAAACAGTGGATTTCAGTGTTCCAAGGAATGGCATCTCACCTAGTGGAATGTAATTTTTAGAGATATTATATGTGATTTCTAATTATAAACATGCTTTCATTAGATTCTGTTTTCAATACTGAAATGACACATTTACTAAATGCTTCAAGTGCAGCTCTAAGTTAGGCATATAGTTATTGAAATCTCTTTCAATCCATTTGTTTTAAAACTGCTGGCAAAATCACTGCTAATTTGCTACTTTATTTACAAGGGCCCTTCACTTTCTATGTACTCAGCACAGTATTCATTTCTGTTGCAGCAACAGGACTGCTCCCCTCTTTGGGGAAAATGTATGTGTCTGCAAGATTGACTATGCAAGACAAAATTTTAACTTCAATTTAGAGATGAAGGGACTACGGTGATGTTAACAGACATGGTGGAGGAAAATCACCTTAGTATTATAATTTGCAAAAAAAAGGCTCTGAACCAAAAGAACGGCACTTTCAACTGATTCCAGAAGATCACACCTTTCATTTGTTCTTCCTATGACTCCTTTGTAGATACTGCTAGGAATAGTATTGAGAATAATAAGAGTTAACATAGTGCTTCTTACATACCAGGCATCCTTCTAAGTGATTTACATTTATTTATTATTTCAATCATCAAAATTCTGTGACTTAGGTCTATTTCACAGATGAGGATTCTGGGGCATAGAGAAGTTAAGTCACTTGCCCAGTCACATAACTGGTAAGTGACAGAGCAAGGGATGAACACAGCCTGGCTCCAGAGCCTTCTCTTTTAACCAATATACCATTCTATAACGTGCTGAAAGGGCCATGAAATCCAGCCTACTTGAATGTAAGCTATTGTTTTCTTTCAGATTCGGCAAAGGAGATTCTCTTTGCTGAAACTGCTGTGTAAAAATCAGACTTCTACTTCAGTGGGGCTTGCTCCTTGTTAAATGTATGTGCTATTTGCATGTGTCACCGCCATTAAGATTAAGGTGAGTCAGGTAAATTAAGCTGAGGCAGCAGGCAGGCAAGCAGGACAAAAGCCTGGGTTTTCAGGTGGGAAGTGGGGTGTTAGTCATTAGGTCAGTCATCTCAGGGCCACCTAACAGTTCTGACAAGAGAAGACCAAAAGAGGTAAGGCCTACAAAGCCCAAATTTGAACCAGTCAAGTAGGTAGGGACTCCCTCCTGGGACACAACAGGTCAGGTCACCTGGCTTCAAACTCAGTACTTCTTCCTACCTACAGGCAGGGCCAACACACAAACCAAACACTATTGAAGATCAGCCTTCCTCCTGCTGCTCAGAAGCCAGCTCAACTGGAAAAGCAGACAATAGAAGACGGTTATCTCTAATTAAATATATGCATCCCAGAATAAATTTACTGGGGTATCACGTTATTCAAAAGAAAAAGCCCCCAGTAGAATGGGGCTGAGTAGAGAGGCAGTCATTTCCCTTGCTAAAGCTCACTTTGGTGGTTACATTTTTCTGGCCTTACCAGGGACTAAATGAAAATATGAGTTTTGAAAAGAATATTACAAGACAGCAGGATAGGTTAAACAGAACCCTGGGCTGGGAGCCAGTTGTCCTGGGTTCCAGCCCCAACTCTGTTTCCAACAAACCATGCCTTCTCTGGGTTTCAGTTAGGTCCTTTGTAAAATGAAAAGATCCTGTGAGGGCCTTTCTAACATTAAATAATTTCTGATTTTAGCCACCTCCCCCAACCACCACTTTTTAATGAAAGATGATCCTTCCTACAGAAACAAGGAAACTCAGAGGATGATTTGACCAAATGAAGCAAAGATGTGAGCTATTTTGGGGTGTTTCCAAGGAGGCAACTGAAACCATTGAAGTCACAATGTAGATTTCTTTTTGGCCTGATCTCTCCCAGTTGATATCACTAGGTAATTGCTCACCCCTCTGAGTCATTGAATCATAGGCTGATTGAATCTCTGGGAAATAAAGGACCTTTCCCACCTACCCTCAGAGATGGACTCCCTTTCTCCAAACACAGCTAGTCTAAATAGTGGGACATGTCTGTTTTATAAAGCCTGTGTATACACAGGTGCTGCTTACATGATAACATGTCTGCTTTATAAAGCCTGTGTGTACACAGGCGCTGCTTACCTGACTGGATGTCACAGGTCATTGGACCCTTTGACTCCTATTTCCAAATAGCTCTCACTCCTACTCACTGATACCAGAGCATCTTTAACAGAGGGACTTTCATTCTCCACTGAAAATATATGATATAAATTCCCTTTGAAGAGGTGGCACTGTCTAAATTGATAATGCAATGCATGCAACTCTATAGCAGATCCCATCATGAGAGCAGATTTCAATAGAAAAGGAGCCCAAAGACATGGAATTCTTGAAGAGAGTGAAACAGGTTTCAGTGAGAGGTGAAAATTATATAGAATGGGAAGACAGGAAGGGTGGAGGCCCTAAAGTGATAGTCTAATAGAATGTGTAACAACCTGGAATCAGACTTGGGTTTACAGCTCAACTCTGCCATGTAACTAACCATATTAGCTTGTGCAAGTCTCAACCTCCCTGAATCTAAGTTTCCCAAACTGTAACACAGGGATAATAATATCTACTACATAAGGCTGTTGATAATTAAATGAGATAATCATTCAAAGGCATAATGACAGTATGCTTGATTTAAGTACATTTTCAGCCCCAAATCTGCAATGTTGTCATAGTTTGATGGCCTTTGATGCGTCTGTTCTTGGTTATGCCTGTGCAACACTCGTGAATATGAATAATATTGATGACTATGTCGGAAGCCACCAGTACAAATTTTAACTCTCTTACTCATCTATGCAACTAACTACACAACTGATTCTAGTACCAGCCAAGATATCAATTGTCAAGCAACCAAAATGCCCACCTAGACTTTGATCGAGATTTGCAAGCACAAAGAGATCAGCTCCGTGATCGTAATTTCAGAGGAGCTCATATTTTCAAGCCTGTCCCAATTTAGCCCAATTGATAGAACTTCAAGGTGGTTTCCCTAATTAATTAGCTCCAACCAGGAGTAAATATGTATGGTGGCTTTTTGAAAAATATTCCCAAGGTATATTTCAACTTATTATGGGAGAAAAAGGTTAATAAATGGAATGGTAAGGTTTCAGCATGAATTTCAGGTTGTGTGTGGGGGAGGTACTGAGTCCATATGCTTGTCAAAAATAATGACAGATAGATTAGGGGTTGCCTCTGAACATACTGTTAGATAGCCCTGAAGCCCCCGACTTCTACACTATTAATAGCTTAAACACTGTCAAGTTTGGAGTTGGGTTTTACCGTGTTTTTGTTTGTTTGTTATCTCTAGGAGATGTTGTTGGTTTGGAGAGGCTCATCAACTCCATGATTTATTATTTTCTATCAGGGAAACATGAAAGTTTGGGGTCCAGTATTGTCTTCCTTTTCAAAAACATGCACAAAGCTCCATATTAAAAAAAAAAAAATAGTTTCAACCTGCTCCTTTTTTTTTTGCCATCCTCCTTTTGCTTCCTAAATCCCCTAATCTGAGATTTGTGTGAGTTGCCTTTATTTCCTATCCCACATTCTGTTCCTAACTCCTACACTCTGTTTCTATTCTCACTAATCTACCAACATTTCTCTTTTGAGTTCACCAGTGATCTTGCCAAATCCAAGAGCTGTTTTTCAATTGTTTATCTTCCTCAGTCTCTTTGATGTATTTGACACACTAGTTTTATCCACTGAAAGTATCTCTTGACTTAGCTTCTGCTGACACTTCACTTTTTTGATTCTTCTCTGATTTTTCATCTAATTCCCTTTTTGCCTGTAACATTAGGCAAAAATGTTCTCCTTCTCCTTTCCGGGCATGAGTTTCTTCCTCAGTAAAATAAAGGGTTTAGACAGGGTAATATCTAATGTCCCTTTCATATAAAACATTCTATGGCTCTGAGAGTCAGTGAGTTACTTGACTTTAACATGTTGTCATGTTTTTGGGTTTTTTTTGCTTTGTTTTGTTTTTTGGTTTTTTGTTTTTTGTTTTTTGTTTTGAGACGGAGTCTGGCTCTATCACCCAGGCTGGAGTGCAGTGGAGCTCCGCCTCCCGGGTTCACGCCATACTCCTGCCTCAGCCTCCTGAGTAGCTGGGACTACAGGCACCCGCCACCAAGCTTGGCTAATTTTTTGTATTTTTAGTAGAAATGGGGTTTCACCATGTTCGCCAGGATGGTCTGAATCTCCTGACCTCGTGATCCACCCGCCTTGGCCTCCCAAAGTGCTGGGATTACAGGCGTGAGCCACCGTGCCCGGCCCATGTTTTTAATGTTGAAGGTTTTGTAGCTACTCCTGTCGACTTTAGTGTTCCAGTAATTGATATAAGTGTCTGAACTTCATAAGGTTGGGCCTTTGCTGATGTATACATGTTTAATACATACTTGCTTTTCTTCTTTATCTAAGACTATGGATATTTGAAATACCTAGATACTACACTGTTCCTTCCTCGAAAATAGATGTAAGGTACATTCTAGAACAATATCCTGTTGCTTATTATTAATATTAGTCTTTCAAAAATGTATTTAGATCAGAAATCCTTCATCTTGTTCCATTTAATTTGGATATTTAGAAAATGAAACAACAATCTTTTCAGCCAAGTGAAGGCATTATGACCAATCGTGAGAGCGAGAATTCACCAATGTCATCAACAAAGGGTCACAAATAATATCTTTGACAGCTTAATCCTGAATTCATATGTTACACAGAAATAGGTGGTACTGCTTTAGTGAACACTTGTTTCTCTGTGTAACATAACATCACTTAAAGACACTCAAAAAATGTAAAACAACACAATTTCTATTGATACTTCTTTTCCTTCACCCATACTTTAGGTGCTATACATGATACTGCCAAGAGTTGCCTGAGACCCCAGGGCAAAAGATTGGCTATAAATACCTTACAAGCCATCCCCACAAATTCACCAAATAAGAAGTTTCCCTTCTCCTAATTAAAAGGCAGTAATGCAATTACTGATCCCAAGGGTATACAATAAATATATGTCAGTAATGAGAAGGTCAGAAAAGGTAAATTGTTAGTGTACAAAGTAGAAAATGCCTGTCACTGCTAAGGAAGCTAGTCAAGAGTGGGGATTAGGGTCCTTAAGCTGCTCCCAATGCAAGACACATAAAAAAGTAGCTGAAGTTTTGTTTTCTTATTTATCATGGCAGAATATATGAATTTGAAAGACCTTGCACACAAAGGAGCTCTCTTGATCCATGGAACATAAACATGTCAGTGTCTTAACAAGACATGATATACTATCTTCCTTCCTCTAACAACAGAAATTCAGTGACTTATCCAAAGTTGTAAGAGTCAGCGGCTGAGTCAACAGTCCCCAAAAGTCTCTGTCGAAAATTCAAAAACTGTTAATTTATACAAAATATTACAATAACTGCCACTCTCTCTCTTTCTTCATCTCCTCCCTCTTCCTCTCCATTTCTCTCTCTCTCATACACACACACATACTCCACACTACCTAAGTGCTTCTCAAAGTCAACATGATAGGCTAATTTTTATAGTATCGTATAGTGTTGTTATCAAGCATGGACTAGAGCATTCAAATTAATAGACTTGGTATTCAAGTTACTAGAGAACCACTAAATATGTCATATAAGGTTTACCAAGTTTTAAGAGTCAGAATAAAATAAAATTTTCTCATGACTAAAAATATATTGTGCATAAAGTTATCTTTCATTGATGATTCAGCACTGCCCTCAAAAGACTTCACACAGCCAAGTAAAGGCACCATCTTTGGAATGACAGGACCATGAAAGTTTGTTCTAGATAAAGCAACTAATCCTAAGGTCTCTGGGAAAAGAAACAACCTAGATTATTTTTCAAGCGAGTAAACATTGTCAGAATTGTTACATAAAATGCTAAAACAAAATCCTACCTTGAGATTGCAAACTCAAATATTCTTGACACCTTACCTTCTATTTTCAAATCAGAAATCCCAACTTTCTGCCCTTAAAAGTAATATTGTGGTATCTCATTTTGAAGATCAGAATGTTTACTTCTCTAGAAGTATCTTCATTTTTTGGGCTTTTAAGATATTACCCTGAGAGGTCAAATTTACTATATGGCATTGTCACAACTTCAGGCTTAAATAGGTTCAACAAAATGCCAATTTATCTATCGAGAGGTCTAGGTGATATTGTGTGAGTGACAAAGAGTTCGCTGTTGTGTGCCAAGAGTTATATTTAGGTTTCTGGCACAAATTAATAATTACTTATAACATTTTATAAAAACAAGAAATCATCCTGACAGCCTTTCATCCAAAGCAACATCATTCATTCTATTAGTTTTGGAGTTTTTGCAGTGACAAGGAGAAAATGATGGGTAATAATAATATCAAAAATCATAGCAAATGCTAGGCACTTGCTAAATGCTTTTACATATATTAAGTCACTTATATCTTCAGCAAACCTATGACATAGGTACTATTGTTAGCTCCATTTTACAAACAAGGTCGCCAAGACCTAGAGAAGTGAGGGTGCCCACAGCAGAGGTCCCTAAACCCTGGTACCAGTTCATGGCCTGTTAGGAACCAGGCCACACAGCAGGTGAGCCATGAGCTTGCATTACTGCCTGATCTCTGCCTCCTGTCAGATCAGTGGTGCCATTAGATTCTCATAGGAATACAAACCCTATTGTGAACTGAACATGTGAGGGATCTAGGTTGTGTGTTCCTTATGAGAATCTAACTAATGTCTGATGATCTGAGGTAGAACAGTTCCATCCTGAACTCCTTCCCAACCCTCGATGGGCAGTCCATGGAAAAATTGTCTTCCATGAAACTGGTCTCTGGTGCCAAAAAGGTTGAGAACTGCTGGTCTACAGGATCTTTTGCTCAGACAAAATGACATGGGTATAGAATTTCATTGGTTGTTTCAGATGACAGAACATTAATATTTAGTGATCATCTACCATGTGCCAGGAACTGGGCCAAGTGCTTTACATAAGTTATCTCATTTAATTCTAACCATCAGCCTTATGAGGTTGTTACTTTTAAACATATTGTACAGATGAAGGGAAGAAGGATACAAAGAAGTTAAGAAATTTTCCCAAGGTCATGCTACTAGTGAGGGCAGAGCTGGGATGTTAATCTAGATAGGTTTGATTCTACAGTTCATGCTCTTTCCACTATGAAGTAAAAATCAAACCAGCAAAAGGCAGGAAATAAATTTAGTTTAAGAATGATTTCCATATTATTTCCTTGGAGTTAAAACTTTAATCATGAAAGCTAATCCCAGTGTCAGTGCCAAGAGTAACTTCCTGTACACAGAGCTTTCATCCTATGGAACACAGGGTTACAGCATTCTGATCACTTTTAGCTTTTAGAGCAGAGAATGGGAACAGGTTGAAGCCATTCTCCAGAATTCTTTTCAGGCCAAATAAAGGGAAAAAATAGACACAAAATGCAAAATCGTCCAAACTTATCCATATGCAGCAGGGCAGCTTTCTCTAAGACAATGAGTTAACTCTTCCATCCCATTAGATCTCCCTCTGAGTACAAGAAGCCAGTCCCTCTAGCCTCAGTGGCCTGAAAGCTTTAATAGCCTACCCAAACAGAAACACCCCATCAGCACTTCTCATTGGAATCCCTTGGAATAATTGTTAAAATTTGCAGATCCCCAAGCCCAAGCCTTGAAAGCAGGACTTAGGAATCTGTACTTTAATAAGTATCCCAGATCACTTGTATGCACAGCAAAGTGTGAGAATCACTACACAAAGCAATGAAATTCTCAAGCCTAGTGTTCTGAATTTAGGATGCTCAGACATAGATAAGCTGAATTTATTTTCAAGGAAGGAAAGTCTCCTTTAATTTAATTAATATTAACAGTCTACTTAACGTAAGCTTTTAAAGTTTTTAGAAGCAGTTACTGGCAAACAGAGTTAAGGTGTGTTCACATCCTTTGCATCTATTCATTATAGCAGGATATAGGATCTGCAACACGACCATATGCAGATCTCAGCAGCCCTCTCTTAGCCTTTAAAGGTCCCTATATAAAGTTCAATGTTCATCTAAGAACATTCTGTAATCCAGACTTTACCCTAATTAAGACTGACATTACATCAATTTATCCCTAAATAATGAAATTGAACTATATTTCCCTTCTCACAGTTGAAATCAAGTCTAAAGTAGGGAATAGTAGTCTCCATAATAAATAGCAATTAGTTGAGTGTTTACTGTATACCAGACCCTATTACAACACAAAATACACCCTGGATTAAAATGGCCCACGAGATGATTTTACCTACTGTAACCTCCTCTTGAACATTCATAATGCACATGAATCTATTAAGAACTCCAAGAGGGCCTTGAAGGAAAGAAATCAATTTATTTTTCTTAACTCAGTTACAAAAACCCATCCTATAACATACCCCTTTTATGAAGAAAACCTGACATACACTTTGGGAATGTGCTGCTACGTAACAGTGTTTCTGTAAGTGTTGTCAATGGCATCAAAATGCAAAGTCAGGAGCCTACCTCAGACCTAAAGGAACAACAATGTTGGGGGCTTCAGGAATCTGCATTCTTAGGTACACTGCTCTAGGGTATACCAAGAGAATCAGCAGTTGCCAAAAGGTGACAGTTGAGGGAAATTGTTATAGCTACACTGGCAAGGCTGACTGAAAATTAAACAAAAATTCCAAAATGGAAACTGCCAAGTGACTATATTTCAACAATTGATATTTCACCAGTCTAAAAAACTTGGGCTGTTTATAGGGGGAGATTCTTGCCCATCCGTAACTGGGATCCAAGAACAATGCACAGAACAAGTCCCACTAAATTGTCCAGCAAATTCTGCTGCTGCCTCAAGGTATAATAGGAAAACATAGGTGGGAGATCTGCTCTCCCACTTGCTAAGCTGTAGGACTTTAGCAAAACCACTTTACCTCTCTGACTTAGTTTTCTCATCCATAAAATGAGAACAATTATCCCTACCTCAGGGAGCCACTGTGAGAACTAAA